TAGAATAATATATAATAATAAACTGTTAAATATTCTTATAATTTATTAATATTGTATGCAACTTACTTCAATATAACTTTCTTACTCTCATATAAATAAAATAATTTATAAACATTTAATGATCTATTTCTATTAATAAGGTTGGTTTAAATAATTAAAAAAATTATTAATAAATCTTTTTAACTTTTTATACTTTTATAATATAAATATCGATTGTTGAATATCGCTAATGAATTTAGATAGACTACAGCATCTAAAATTAATTATATTAAGAAAATAGCAGTGATGCTCACAATAAAACCCCATCCTAAATAAGATTTCATATCTTCTACCAATATTCTTAATTATTCATTCAAAACAGAAATTACAATAATTATTAGTTCAGAGCTAAATTGTTTTATGAATTCCTTATAATCAGTAAGAAATAAGGGTGTACAGTAGTTAATATAATTAAATTTATTATCTAAATAAATGTAATTTCATAACAAAATATTAATGTTAACAAAAAAAATAGTTTCAGTAGGATGGCATTGAAATAATTGCATAAATTTTTTTCTTATTCCCTTAAACAATATTCCATATTTGAAGTTATTTTTGGTAATTTGCAAAAGCATATTTATCTTAACTACTCAGTTTATGAAAAAGAATAATCAGTAGAAGAAAAATGTTAACAATGTAAGTATTAAGCTCAAACTTATTAAAATATTGTGCGACATTATGTCTAATGAATACAATTAAAGAACTATAACAACAGTAAAATCATAAATAGTTGTAATCAGAATTCTTTAGATTAAAAGAGTTCTCTTTAAACTTTTAGACAAAAAAATGGTATTGATATTTTCATAGCAAAAATTAGGAATTTAATCTTAAGGATGAAGCTTGGTTTTTTATTTAGTATATCAGCATATTACGAATATTGTTTATTAAATTTCATTAGTATTTGAAATCAAGTTGGTGTAAATAATTTGTAATCTTTTTTGAAGCAATGTATATCAGAATTAAACTAAGCCAAATGAAAATTACAGATGTGCTGTTTATTATATATTGAGATGTTAAATCATCTTATTTAACTTTGAGTGGATTATTATTAAAGTTTTCATTAATCATAGATAAATTAAAAAGGTCATAAGATTTGAAATATTTAACAATGAAATTCATTAGTAAAAATTCAAAGCAATCGGAAAATTGTTTTAAATTAAAAGGAAATTAAGAAAAAATATACTTTAGATATGACAATATAAATTAATATAAATTCATAATAGGCACTTAGATCTCGAAGATTATAATAATCGCTATCCCTACAAATAGAAGAGCTGTTTCATTCATTAATCCAATATGTTAGATCTAAGAATATTATGTATAAATTGATTAGGAAATGCAAATTTGACAGTATTATCTCTGTAATATCCTTATTTACAAATTCATTTATTATCAACTAAATCAAATTCTCTACACAAGAAGCAGAATTATCTGATTAATTTATACACATATTTCAATCTGAAATAAACTCTTAATAATAACACATATTTTTGCATTCTACACATTGTTTATCAATGATGAACTATCCAATTTAACATTAATAACATGATTAAAAATCTAAAAATTGTTTACATTACCCAATGCATTTAAACATTATTATTTATCATTATTTAAGTAATTTTATTCTTAACATTCAGTACAATTTTCTTTAGAATAACATCTTAAACACCAAATTTTGCATAATTATTAGGTTTACTCTTCATTATATAAGGATCCAACTTGAGATTTGCATTTGTTTTAATATAAACTATATTTGTGTCTGAAAATTTTAGACCTTTATAAGCAGCATCTTCACAAGTTTAGTATTAAGGAGAACATTTTAGGCATATAAATTTTCATTAAAATAATATCCATTTCTACAGTTGCATAAGTTTAATTCTAAAATTTATTTAGTATCATCAACACAAGCATGAAATGAATAATTATTTATATATTACCCATTTAAACATTATCATTAATTGTTGATTAATATCTGATTTGTATCTAAAAATTGTTAAGCATCCATCTTGATTGCATGTTATAAATAATAGTTAAAAAGGAACATAGGAATCTAAGGAAGCAGCATAAAAGGAATCATTGCATAAGTAAATTAAAATTTTCATTAAGATAATGACTGTTATCATTACAAGAATCACAGTGGTTCTAATTTACTGAACAAGTTTAACAAGTTAATTAAATTTAATACAATTGATATTCTAATCACTCATCCTACCTTTATAAGATTTGCATTTACTATTTTCAATTATATGATGAATATATTAACATTATGTATAATTTAAATAATAAATTATTAAAATTCTGTTTTATTAAAATACAAGTTTAAGGAAAAACAGAATACGATTCAAATCTATAGTTGTTTAACATTTAATATATGGAGGAACACATTATTCACATTAATTCCCAATCAAAACATACCCATCTAGCAAACACATTAATTTAACTTATTGATAAATTAATGATCATCAATGTAAGACAAACAGAAAGTTGATGAATTTTTACATACTTAACAAATTCCAGTACACAATTCACATTTTAAAGGATTATAATTTAAGCCTTCATAATATCCATCTAAACAATATCAAGATTTAGTTATATTATTGAAATTGAATCTGGAAACACATATTAAACATGAATTAGAATCAATATTACATTTAATTCATGGATAACTACATTATTAAAACTTAAATGATTAATCCATGAAATATCTGCCTTAACAATTATATTATGGCAAAAATTTGTCTGATTTATACATTACAAAATAGAAAGTATCCTCTGAAGAACAATTTTTAAAAGGTAATTTACATGGTTTACATGAATCATCTTCAAAATACCATCATCAAAAACACAAATGTAATTATTTATATGTCTATTTAATCCAGTTTATACAAGATTGACAAATTTTTAATTAATCTGAGCATGTATAAAAGTATTTAAGTATACAGAACAACGTTTTCGATTTTTATCATCTTAAATTCATTAATTAAACATGAGCAGTTTTTGAATTAATTTAATGATCATGTTGATTAACAGAATAAACAAGTAGAAAAATTTGTTTTATAAGTTAAACATGGAAATTAGCATTAGTCATATATAAATGTGTTGATTAATGTAAATTTTTATTGATAAATTCACTTTGATAATTAAATATATGAACTTAGTATATCAATACAAGAGATACATGTTGTTATAAATTGTACAATGATCATCTTCAAAATAAGTAATAATCTGTATTATTAATTAATCTTAAAGAGTCAGATTTTATGATGTGTTCTAACGAAAAAGATATTTATAATTACTACATAGAGGGTTTTTACTGACACTTGCTTTTACTATATACTATTAAGTTCTTAAAATCTCTCTCAAATTCAAAATAAAAATCAAAATAATAAGAATATCATATTTAATTACTTTGAAGAATATATTGAATTGATTTAGATTTTGTAATACAAATCTGATTCAGTTATATTCAAACATATTAATGTTTTTTGTGAAATTTAAAATATTTTGAGTTTCTAGAACCAAGTTTTTTTCTGTATCCACAATTTAAATTAAAAATTTATTTGTTTAATATATTAATAATTAATTTAAAAATTTAATAGAAATTGGATTTTTAATATAAGGATCATCCTTGAGCACCAGCAATTTTCTGGTGTAAATCAATGGACTGTTGAGGGAATAGAATTTTCTGCCTTAACTGTCAAAAATAATAGAAACATTGTTAACATTTCATTAACGAAGTTGATGATATTAATTAATTAAACTAATTTTTGATTACTAATTCTCAACGTTCAAAGGATATCATAACAGAATGTCAACTTTAATATAAATCAACTGTCCAATCATTCGAATGACTAATTTCTGCTTTATAATACAAATTCTGTATATAAGAAGATAAAATTAATGAATTTGGACTTAATTAAGTATTAGAAGCACTTGATTCTTTTGTTTTATTTGATGAAATGAAGATTTACATTGATTCCAATTTAATAGGACCTTTGAAGAAAATCTAGAAAATTTTAGATGATCTATATATGCAATTAGAATTACATTTCATAAAATATTAGATTTCTGATTAATAAATAGTAACAAATTAGATTGAATATCAAACAGATTCTTATTCATATTTATTTCTTTAGCTATCTCTTTACAAATAGTAAATATATCAGATGATGCAATTTAAATATTGGATAAATTATTGTTAGCTGATCCATTTAATATAGAATTTATGTACTAAAAAGGTTATTAATTAATACGATTTTAAGCAAATTCATAATAGAATTGAATAAATGGAATATTTAATAAATAAACTTAATAAATCAAAAGAAACATAATAAATATATATAGATATAATGTTTTTATTGATAATTTAGGTGATATCTTATAATTATTGTTTAAGAGATTAAAAGTCTTATTAGAAAGCTAAAGACTATTATAATAAATGCATATCAATTAATAACAATAATTCAGCAAGTTAATTAAGTATAGGTATTATGTGAGTATATTACATTAGGTGAATGCTTAAAAGAGACTTACTAATACAATTAAGCTTTAAGATATTTCAATAAAGCTATTTAGATAAGCTAATCTAATCAACTCTATATATTATGGTAAATTTTAATTTTAAGTAATTAGGAGATTGTCTAAGAGAATTAGAGAAATATGAAGAGTCTATAAAAACTTATGATGTAATTTTACATTAATAATCTAAAAAATGCTGATACATCTTTTGGAAACGGTAAAGCATTCAATAATATATTAAGGAATATGTTTATTGTATTTAAACAAGCCTAAAGAAGCAGAGAATTTATTAAAAAACTCATTTACTCTAAAATCAGATTGTTATTTAGGATATTATGGATATGGTAAATGATTAAATTAAATTTTAGGATTGTAATTATTCTCATAAGCACAATATTAATAGGCAATTAAACATTGTGTTAAAGCTTTAGATATCAATCCATAACATGTTTATTCATTACATGGGAAGGGTAAATTTAATTCAATTAATCAAATGTAACTGCCTATTTATTAGACAAAATTTGATTTATTTAATATATTAGATGAATGATTATTTATAGGCACTTGAATGGTATCAAAAAGCACTTGATATCAATCCATAATATGTTAATTCATTATAGGGGAAGGGTATACCTTTATTTAATATTTAGCCAACTGCTTAATGTAATTTGGTTAATTTGAAAATGCCTATTTACTTTTAGAAAATGCAAATTAATTATAACCTAATAATAATAAGAATTCTATGTATTTATACTAACCTTAATAAGGTTAATGTAATCATTGCTTAAAAATAAGAAAAGATATTAATAGAAGGATAGGATTTTAAAAACTTGAATTATATTCTAAAATTAAATATTAGTTAATAAATGTCATTAATGGAAATCTAAAACACAGTAATATTCTTATAATATTGTTTCTACTTATTGTAAATATTAATAGGTAGAATTATAATTAATATTTCTCCAAATCATTTTCAAATCATTTTATAGTATTTTATCAATTTAGTCATAAGATGAAATATGATGAGAAGGAGCATATGGAAATAAAAGTATTCATTGTAAGCTGTCTTAATGATTAGAAATTTTGTAAAACATCTCTATCACTTATTTTCGAGTTATGTGATATTCTTGGAATTTTTCTTATTCATTTAGATATTTAATAATTATTCAAATGAATTCTTTGTCTTTTTTAGTCAAGCTCCATCTACATTTAAAATCAAACTCATTTATTTTTATGCTCTTACAACATTCATTGTAAATAATAGAGTATTAAAATTTTTGTATTTTAAAAAGTAGGATTTTTTTAATTATATGAATTACTTTAATTTTAACTTTAAAATGTGATAGATTTATATTTTAACTAATAATAATAATAACAGTTTTTTGAATCTTATTATTAGATTTTTAATAATATTTTTAATTTATAAAAATTTATGTAAAGAATCCTTTTAAATCAAAAATAACAAAACTTAAATGTGATTCCCATCAGAAATGAATATAGATATTAGAATTGAATCAAATTCCCATAAAATATTTCAGAGATGATCATCTAATGATAAGAATCTTTATGTGGCCAAAAATTGTGCACTAAATTATATTGTCGTATAAAAGGCTGAATTCACTGAGTCCAACCGATATGAAAACCTAATATGATAAGGTGAAGAAACAATTAGATAGCTAAGATATAGCTAACTTAATCTCAATTATTTTATATAGTTTATATTTTAGCTGGATTAATTATGAGAGAGGCAGTTTTTGGGAAAGTATTATTTATTGTCTAAAGTCTAATTAAAATAAATGATTGTATTTTCCTGATAGTATAAAAATCTAGTCAGGAAACATTTCAAATCCAATAATATTTGAAGATACTCTCAATGGGCTTTTATACTCATCTAAAAGAAATTCTATATGGTGATCAAATAAAATACAATGCTACCTTCAGTAATCAGAACTGATTATACTTGATTTGACATTATCGAAAAATAGAATCCTGAAAATAAAATGATAGAAGTAAAAAAAGGTTCTACCATCTAGGGAATTATAGGAATGTTATAATAAAATCATCTCCTATCGATTTTAAAGTTATTATGTTAATAAGATCTTACTATATCTATCATATATATTATTATTTTCTTTATTAGAGAATTATCTATTACTTATTAAAAGTGATAATTGCAGTTTCAAAATAAGTAAATTCTCAGAATATTCTTTTTAACTGTCCTCGGCTCAGATTACTCATTATTTAGAGTGGTATTCCCAATTTAAGAATTTGGTCAAAAAAGAGAATATTTAGATTTATTAGGAGATTAGTTGTTGACATCAAAAAGCGACCATAGAATTCTCCAAATCCAAGGAATTTTGACCTCAGTGGACTAAATATGTCACTAAATTATATTTCTTAGCTGCATAAATAATAAAAACTGTCCCCTTAATTGGATTTTAATTTATCAAAATTTATAAATGGTTGAAAATTTGAATTACAATAAAATTTCTTAGTTATCATAAAAATTAATATTGATTTGAAGGTTTATTGGGAATCCTTACTAAATTCAAGTATAAAAACAATTTTGTTTGAAAGTATAAGGTAATTTAGTAAATGTTAATATAAGATATCTAAAGATCAATCTTAGATAATTAGCCGTTTGCTCACAGTTATAAAATTGATGAATAATTAATAAAAACAATCAAATACTTATTGAATCAATATTAGAAAATATATAGATAAAAACCCTAAAGTATTAGATTTCTGATATGTTAATGTTGCTGGTTTAGTTGATATATAATAAGGATATAATTCTGAACCAATAAAAAAAAATCTAAATAATATTGGGTTCTTAGAAATATCAAACTCAAGAGATCAGGAAAATACAAAATTCGGATGATCGTTTGTGGCCCATATTGCTTTTTTACATTTTTTGCACTCTATTACCTTTAACCTCATGCTTTCATTAACTTAAAAAATAAAACATTATCATTGGCTCTAAAGTATAACTCTCCTTAAACTGATAAAGGAATAGTTAAATCAGTTTTAGAGTATAATCATTTAAATATATCCCAGGTAGAAGATAAGACATAATTTCGCCTTAGATAGGATTTTCTGGAAATACTTATTTTTCAACCATAACTTCAATAATATTGATATTAAATCTTACATATTATATATTAATTCAATTTAAGGATGATATAAACTTATAATTGTCCGTTGCCAATGAAAATATTCTGCTTTTGTTTTCTCAAACAAATAGGCTTTATAATAATTAATATAACAATAATAATAAAAAAATTTTAATTACAATTTTAATTTGTTAATTTTTATTCATCAAATATCTTCTTTATTGGAAGAACTTTTTGATAATTCATTTGATGAAATATTTGAAAAAGGGCTTAAGATATAAGAAATGATGTATTTATATAAATATTTTCTCATAATTTCTAGATTATATAAGATAGTTATTTATTTAATTATTTGATATTAACAAAGAGTCTTATGTTATCAATTATATTCCTTTATTGATAAATTATAATAATTTTTGTAATTAAAATAAAAAAAATCATATGAGCATTTTTCTTATCCAATATGCAAGACAAATACCACAAGCATTTTTTTAAATAGGTCTATAATTTTATCCATTATAATAATGCAAAAATACTTCCTACTGGGACATCTCCATAACTTGATTAAAGATTGGAAGCATAGCTATTTGATCTTGGACCTTTGGAAGTGAAACCTAAACAATATAAAAACATAAAGACAATCCATTTAAAATTTTCTCAGTAATTTATTTATCAACATAAATAATTTATGCATTATTTAATAAATATATTTATCCAAAAGAAATCTGACCTAATTAATTTATAAAGTGTTTTTTATAATTATAGTTTCAATCATTGTAAAAAATCCATGTTAAGCTACACATTCAATAAGAATATAATTAATTTATTTGTTTTGATGTATAACTGGAGCTTTTTCATACTATTTAATAGACTATTCAATATGATTCATCCCACTTATTTCACAATTTAAATTTTGTAATTCTCAATAGGCAGCCATCTTGATTATGTAATTCAAATAACTTTACCACTCATTTATTATGAATTTATATGCTGTGGATTGATAATCAATAATTTAGAAAAGATTCTTTATATTGATTCTTTTTAAGTTGACTTTTTCAAATATATAGGATTATTTACTTTGTTAATAAAAGTATAATTAATAATTTGATTTTAAATTTAATTATATTTTAAATAATTTTATGCATCTTTATTAATTTATAAAAATAATAAAATGATTTATTATAATTATAAGTCTATTTCCTAAATTAGGTTAAAATTATACTTCTTCCTGAATATGCATCAGCATGATTAGAATCATCATTTAAAATTTATCATAAACAATAACTTTCAATTTTTTATATATAATTCTTCTATAAAACTAGTTAATTTTTGTACAACAAATAATTTCTAGTCATTTTAATGTTTTACTTCAAGGCTTTATTACTATTAATCATTTACTTTAAATAATGATACCTAATAATTGAAGATTTATTTATTTGAAAATAATTTTAGTTATAGCTGAAAAAAAAAAATTAGAATAGCCACTTTGATTTAGAAAAACTAAATCATCTTCACAATTATCCATAAATGAAAAATTATATTATTAAAATTCAATGTCCATATAAACTTGATTTTTGAAATTTGTTACTTTTTAAATGTCAGGAGAGGAATCGTATATTTATACTTCAATAAAATAGTTTTATGCTTTATTGTAATTTTTTATATCTTCAAAACTACATGAAATTTTCATATTAAAAATCAAGATCAAAAACATAACTACCAAATATTTATAATTTATTTATTATCTTAAATTACTCTTTTGAAATCATTCTTTAGATTTAAAAGTTATATATAGCTTAAATTCTTTGAAGGAGATTATAATCTATTATAAATTTCTCATTATTTTTCCAAAATCAGATGAAAAAGTAATGAAAATTAAAAAAAAATTGTAATGGTACAATCAAGAAGTTTAAATTNATAACTGGAGCTTTTTCATACTATTTAATAGACTATTCAATATGATTCATCCCACTTATTTCACAATTTAAATTTTGTAATTCTCAATAGGCAGCCATCTTGATTATGTAATTCAAATAACTTTACCACTCATTTATTATGAATTTATATGCTGTGGATTGATAATCAATAATTTAGAAAAGATTCTTTATATTGATTCTTTTTAAGTTGACTTTTTCAAATATATAGGATTATTTACTTTGTTAATAAAAGTATAATTAATAATTTGATTTTAAATTTAATTATATTTTAAATAATTTTATGCATCTTTATTAATTTATAAAAATAATAAAATGATTTATTATAATTATAAGTCTATTTCCTAAATTAGGTTAAAATTATACTTCTTCCTGAATATGCATCAGCATGATTAGAATCATCATTTAAAATTTATCATAAACAATAACTTTCAATTTTTTATATATAATTCTTCTATAAAACTAGTTAATTTTTGTACAACAAATAATTTCTAGTCATTTTAATGTTTTACTTCAAGGCTTTATTACTATTAATCATTTACTTTAAATAATGATACCTAATAATTGAAGATTTATTTATTTGAAAATAATTTTAGTTATAGCTGAAAAAAAAAAATTAGAATAGCCACTTTGATTTAGAAAAACTAAATCATCTTCACAATTATCCATAAATGAAAAATTATATTATTAAAATTCAATGTCCATATAAACTTGATTTTTGAAATTTGTTACTTTTTAAATGTCAGGAGAGGAATCGTATATTTATACTTCAATAAAATAGTTTTATGCTTTATTGTAATTTTTTATATCTTCAAAACTACATGAAATTTTCATATTAAAAATCAAGATCAAAAACATAACTACCAAATATTTATAATTTATTTATTATCTTAAATTACTCTTTTGAAATCATTCTTTAGATTTAAAAGTTATATATAGCTTAAATTCTTTGAAGGAGATTATAATCTATTATAAATTTCTCATTATTTTTCCAAAATCAGATGAAAAAGTAATGAAAATTAAAAAAAAATTGTAATGGTACAATCAAGAAGTTTAAATTAAAAAATTATTCTTTTTATTTCCTTTGTAAATTTAATTTATTTTTTCCAACTGTGGCAAACCTGATCAGTAACTATGATGATTTAAATGTCATATTTTTGGAAATATTATTAAGAAATCAGTCAATATTTTGTAATTACTTTATACTAAATTGAGTCATCAGCGCAGTATTATTTTGGTAACAATTTACATTCTTATTCATTAGTAAATAACAAAATAATTAAAAAAATTAAATTCCAAAACTAAGGGATTAGAATATGGAAATCTAAATATCATTTTCAATCTCGCACTCATTAAGAAGCTTAAAGATTTTCTAATAAGTCTCTACTCTAAGACATATAAATATATCTCTTTATGCCTTGATTTTAATTGTGATTTCTAACCTCAAGCTTCTTTTGAATGATAATTTTTGTTGCAATATTATATCACTATTACCCTCCTGAATCATATCCTTTTAGAATTTCTCATAACAATTCAAATCTATTTAAGTTTAATAAAGATGTCTGATTGCTTTTAAACAATTATAACTCCATTAACATAATGAACATACATTGAATCCCTTTAAATATTATGGCATAACCAATAAATTATTCTTGCTCAAACACATAAGTTTCAAAAATTAATAAATTCGCTTGTTTTCTTATAATTGACCTTCTCGTATTATTATTTTCATATGGAGAAACCATTAGAATTTTAGTGAGATTAGCGTTTACTATTATTGCTGTATTTCAACCAACCAGAAACTTGTTTCCATGCTTAAATCTCACTCTGCTTGATTACTGACATCTTGCTTCGAAATATGTCTATTATATTCTATAGTAGATCTAATAGAATAAAAAGATAACCAAAAAATTTATTAAATTAATTTAAAAATCTCTTAAATAGGAATTTATAAATATAAGATTTACTTACATTTATGGTTTGAATTATTTCAGCGGTTTTGATACCCTAAGAAGTTGCATTCATCATCTAAATAATGTTTGAAAGCAATACTTGATAATTTTTATTTTAAGCATTCAATATTAGATTTATTGATTGAGTATCAATTAAAGAATTTAGTTGATAACTCTGCTGACTGATGCTCTCTACAAAAATTTAAGAATTTAATTGTTTTTTTTATTTTTAATCAATTATTAATAAAAAAGAAAAATATTACTTATTTTAACTCTAAATTGAAAAGAAATTATAAAATTAACAAACTTCATCGCAGTTTCAAATACCAAGGCTTTTCTTATTATAATAATAAAAAGTTTAAAAAAAAAATTCTTTTTTTAAGTGATAATCATCAATTAGATGAAAAAAAAAGGAAAATTTCTCAAGATAAAGGTGTAACTATTTAAATATTTAAGCTATTGAAATCTTTATTTTTTATTAATTTATTACTAATTTTACTAATTATATATTTTTCATTTTTCTCATGAATTTATTAAATTATCAGTCAAATAATGTATTGATTTTTTTCAAATTAACAATATCAAAATGTATTTTTACAACATTTTCCCAGACACTTATTTTGATAAACATATCGTACAGAAAAATTAGATATTTATGCATCATAAAATTATTTATTAATATTTATAGTAAATTAGCTTCATCCATATTATATTATAAATCTGTATTTTAATATAGATATTAAGTATATCTCTGATTATTTTAGAACAGAGTTAATACATCATTTTGTTCTGCTAGATTCACGATTATAATTAATCAATTAATTAAATTATATATGACATCACTAGAAACCTATTCTTATTTTAAAAGTATTTATTATTTCATTAGCTAGATTTTCATTACATTGTTATTAAATATAACTAGCTTAATGATATTTCTTATGAAATTCAACATTTTTTATTCTTATTTCTACATGCTAATTAACAAATTTGAAAATATTTCAATATAAAAACATTCAATCAAGTGAAAACAAATTTAGTCTCAAGGTAATAGTATTGAATCCTTTCTAATTTAAAAGAATTGAGTATGATTTAAATAACCAATAAATGTATTTTTAAAATAAATGAAACCAAATATTATAACAAGATTCTAATCTTTATAATATTATACAATTAATACTATTAATATTTATTAATATCATCTTACTAATTGAGATGATAAATTACATAAATACATTCATTTCAGTTAAAATTGTCTTTCTTCCGCTATAAAACTACTAATATTGTAAAATTATTATTTATTATATTCATTTCAATTATTGTATATACATCATATTTCTGTTCCACATTATTCTAAGTTACTAAATATTTTATATCATTAGTTGATGCTCAAAAAATATAATTTGATTAATTTTATATCTATGAGATTATCTTTCATTTGATATTATGATCAAATAAATACAATATTTTATGATTTACAATCATTAAATTCCTTTTTTTTAGTCATAAAAAAACTGGAAATAAATTGACATCAAATTCTTTACAATTATTTTGAAAAATCTACCTACAATTAATATCTTATTTTTTAATACAATAAATTTTATTAGTTCTTATTTTTGCTCTCACCCTAAAGAATTAATTAAGCAAACCCAACTTATTATCTATTTGGATTACATACATTTATTCAGCATTATGTTATATTTAAGATTATTTAATAAATAATAATTTTAAAACTGAATTAGATTTCATTTATAAACCCATCCTTCTATCTAACATTCTTCAAATTATCTTTTCATTTAGTTAAAGAAATAAATTTACTCAATTTTAGTTTTGATTCAACCTTTTTTTTATAGTATATTTATTCTGAAATTGATTTTTCTATGACTTTCTGAAAAATTAAGTAAATTTATAACATGTTTACAAATACTGAGAGATTATGATAAAATGACAATTTTCTTTTTGAACTTAAGGAAACTTTCGATTATTTGCAAGTAAATTTAGAGATTAAAGTTTAGGTAGAATGTCAATTATGAATTAAAACTAAATTTATATCGATTTTCTATTTATTCTGTAAATTAATAATCAAAACTTTAATTATTATAGTAATAAATCCAAATAATAATGAGTTTAACTCAATCAATAATTTTTTTTCATTTATTAAAGTGATTTTATTCCTCCTCATGATAACATTATCTAAAAACTCTTAATTATAAAAAATTCAATAACTTTATTAGATTAACATTTTTAATGACATTATTGCTTTTGTTTTTCTTATTAGAATACTCAAATTTTGCCCCATTACCAGCTGCTGATGCTGATGCAAAATGTTCTTAAAATGATCTATTTATTTTAAGTAAAGCATCTATTATTAGGGAAAATTACAAAGATGTAACTTCATAATTTAATGGAGCACTTCTATCTTCAGCAAGAAAAACTATTTTTCGGACACAGGGTATTGACAATCTTCCTTTAAGAAATTTACTCTACTACTACCCTTCAGATCCAAATCTTCCTTAAGGGCATGTTGTTGCCAATCTGGGTGAATCAATAATAGTGGAATTTTATTAAGCATACAAAATCAATACTGTAAGGTTTTGGATGTGGGATATTGATGGTAGATAAACAGACATGCAAGTATTTGCAATAGCAGCTGATAGGAAGACTGAAAATGTCATATATGATGGTATTGCACCACCTAATGTAAATGTTGTAAAATTTCTGATTAATTGGTATCAGGATTCAAATTTTATAATAGAGGAGGGGATAGTATATTCCATTAATATATGTCGATCATCAAAATATAGGCTTTCTATGCTTTTTGATTAGCTATATTCATTTAAACGACAATAATTTTCTAACATATTATAGATTAGTATATTTATGTTAATCATTTTCAATAATTAACAAATTCTAACTAAATCAATTTTAAGAATATAGTCTTTCGAATTGAGATTATCATATCATTTCATTTAATAAAAAATATCTAAAATAAACTTTATAATTTATTATCTAATAAGCTTTATTCAAAAGCTTTAGCATAATATTTTATGAGATTAGTCACCTTAGTAAGTATTAATCTGTAGCAATATTATTTATAGTTGATTAATATCAAAATTTTTTTTGACTATTTTTAATTTAATTGAGTTATTTATGCTAAATTTTATATCAATCTCAGAACTCTAAAAAATTAACTAGTGTCGATATTTATTCATATATTTTTGATTTGGATTATAAACTATCGTCCCTTTGTTAGATTGGCTGTAAATAGAATTAATCCTATCTTGAGATGAATTCAAAAATTTAGGATTCAACAGCAAACAATAATTTAACCTTATTGATATACTCTCTAGTAATCCTTATTTTTTTTTAATTACACCTATTCAAAAACCTCATGAAATTTGAAGTCTTCTATTCAAGCATAATTTAGAAATTCATTATGTTAAAAAAAATACAAAACAATCTTGTAAATTAAGATTGAAAGTTGAAGGATAACGAATAGCCATATTTCATTGATTAATTATTTGCTCATCAAGTATAGAGATGGTTACTTATGTAATAATTTGAATAAGTTAAAAAAAGATATTATTTTATTTAATTCTATGAAATAGGTTTTTTAATTATTATTTATTATGAAAATAGTGATGCTGATAATGAAATTTAGTTTGTATTTGAAGATTGATTGAATAATTAAAATTACTAATTTATTTAGAGGAATTGAGAAGTTGAACAAACAGATATATTTGTTTACCTATAATGGCTAATTAAGTGGCTTGCATGATATATGTCATATTAAATGTATCACTAGAAGAGTTAAATGCCATAAGTTAATTACTTGATTAATTAATTCAGAATCAAAGGATAATGCAAATAAAATATACAAAAGAGGACTGTAAATGACAATATCAACTGAAATTAGCCTTAACTC